TGGTTCGGTGTTGCTCCTCCAACTTCGAATCTTCACTCTGCTATACAAAAGGAGGTAAGTGATCGAATCCCTCCAACTATCGAGTTGTTAGTCCTTCCTTTTTCATCAAAACTGATGGAATCGCTAATCGCAGACGAACTTCCGCGCTATTTCAAAAGTCCGCAAATAAATTCTGATGCCCAACATGGTTACAAGCACACACGAACTTGTTTCACCAACCTGTTTTTTGCTCGGGGCTCATGGGCTACGGCGGCTGATGAAGGAGTCCCCATAGATGTAGATGATTTACTTAGACTTTTCTTAGGCAATCGACAGGGTCAATCACTTCGTTCTCCTCCAAAAGCTTGCTACCTACGGAATAAACGGCTTCCTGCTTATCTGGTTGGAAGGTTACCTACACAACAGAACAATCAAGCTAAGAGTAGCGGATACTCACTCCGACGGCCTGTGCATCTCCCTTTGTGTACTGCACGGAGCCGTCCTCGGCACGCTACTGTTTTTAGTCTTCAGCAATGACCTCCCAGCAGGCATATTATCCCCAGTGTAACTATCTGCAGATGATGCTAAAATATGGAGAGCAATTCGCTCAGCATCCGACCGTACCTATCTGCTTAACTATCTGGGCCGGATTACTAAATGGGCGAAAAGGAACTAACTCCCGTTGAACCATAAAATGTGCCACCGGCTGACGGTGCGCAGGCGCTTCATAAACATATATTTTCTGGAACAGCACCTTCTACACCACGTGACTATTGAACCAGAATTGTGTCGTCGTATAGAAAAGTCTTGGTAATTCGCTCCTATGTTCGAGGGCGCACTTGAACTTGAGGCTTTTGAGGCGACCTCTCGGCACCTTTGAGTGACGGCTAATACCACTGTTGATCAACATATGTTTTCGTCCCCACGTTAAATATGCAGTTCAGGCCTGGCGCCCATGGTTAAAAACGAGATATTCATCTCTTGGAAGCCTTCCCATGGAAGAGACACGAAAGCAGCATGTGGACTATCCAGTCTCAGTCACGAACTGCACCTTCGATTACTCCGTGTGTTTTCTCCTACGAAGACCCGGGGCTTAACAGACATGGCCTCACATACCGGATACTAACTGAGATGGAGCATCCAAGTATATCACTGCTGACGGTAATTCCTTAGAAACAATGCCGAGGCCGACGTCTGAAACTGGTAACGCAACGGTATCGTTTGTATTGTAGAATTTGTTTTACTTTCTTAGTATGTTCACACTTGAACGCACTACCAACACGTGTTGAATGCATCAAACATCGCGACTTTCATCGGTGTGATAAGCGCTATACAACAGTACGATCAAGTGCGATGTCCAAACTACTGATAATTCGTTTCACGTTGGTGCATTTTACTCTTGATTTTTTTGTTGCATATCTATCCTGTGGGTCTTGTGAAGTCATGCTTTTTATCCTATCATACACTGTTGCACAACTGAGGCGACCTGATAATGACATACTTGATTTTGCAAAATCCTAATCTTGTGTACCACCCTTTCTTACTACTCAACAATAGAATGCACTTCATAGATAACCACTTAAAGCCTGCAGTACAGTACAGCCGGCTGGAGTTCCGTAGAAACTTGTTTTCTCTTCGCGTGTCACTGGCAGAGCGCTCTCCTTGTATCGGCTGGCTTGCCAAACAATGACTGGCTTGCCGAACAACCTCCTCGTGGTGCCAGCTGGGTGGTTCGGGTTCTTCCCGTTCCAGCGAATGGTTCGGCGGCAGTGTTCCAGGACGTGGTGGGTTTTCGCCTGGCAAGCGTTCTCCCTATAAAAAGCCACAAATGTCCGTTTAACAACACTGCGACGTGGCGGATGTGACTCGCCACTAAATAAAGTCACTGCCCCTTGCCCCTCCCTGAGAGGCATTGTACTTTAAGGGTGCGTTGGGCCCCTGGTCCTTCACGGACCGAAAGGCGTATGAACCATCTATTTGGTCACCGGCTCCCAACGGGTTGCGACGCCCTCACATCGCCCTGCTGCCTTGTAGGTTAGATCTTTGATCAAAGGCTCGGGGTAGGGCCCCCTAAGACAACCCTCTACTTCGGCCTGGGCAACCGGGTAGTATCACGCCCACTGACGAATCATGGACCACACCGCTTACTACTGCTACTGCTATGCCTATCTTCTGTGCTAACTCAACCGCTCAACCTCCACTCACAGATCACCCCACCTCCCGTCCTTCACCCACATGTACTCTTATGTCTTCTACGGTCACCGTCACAAACGACCCACGTCTCGCAGCTGATGGAAGTAACAGCCAAACTCCCGGTTTTCAATGTCCTCCGATCGCAACCGCCTCTCACTCCACCGAAGCTCCAGCTCTTCTTCGACCTGGTTCTCCATTCATCCTCGCAGCGTTTAATGTTCGAACTTTGATGCAGATCGGACGACAAGCATGTCTGGCCCGTACTCTTGAAACGCTTTCGGTAGACATCTGTTGCCTTTCAGAGACCAGATTACAAGACTCTAGCGCCGTCATCAGAATGGCCTCTCCGGTAAACTCTGACGCCAAATACTACTTGCGGCTTTCCGGAGACCCAGAAGCTGCCGCCACTGGTCAAGCTGGTGTTGGGGTTGTACTGAGTGCCAGGGCTGAATCAGCTCTGCTTGACTGGATCCCAGTCAACAGCCGACTATGTGCAGTCAGACTAAGAGGTTCATGTAACGTAAGCAGGCGTCGAGACGTTAAGCGTGCCTTGTTTGTCGTCTCCGCCTACGCCCCTACAGACTGCAGCCCGGATGCAGTTAAAGATAGCTTTTATCAACAACTACATGAACTTCTGCGTTCCTCCAAACGGACTGATATAGTCATTCTTGCCGGGGACTTTAACGCACGAGTTGGCCGCCTTCCACCAAGCGAGCACCACCTTGGGGGTAGTTTTGGTCTCGGTGGCAGTCGATCAGACAATGGAGACAGACTGCTTGCTCTTTGTTCTGATCATCGCTTGTTTCTTTCGAGCACTAGTTTTCGGCACTCGAGGAGACACACTGCTACCTGGCGCCCGCCCTCACAAACGCAAGAGTGCTCCCAGCTTGACCACATAGCAATCAGCTACAGATGGCGCGGAAGCGTAACGGACTGCCGATCGTACTGGTCAACTTTTCTAGACTCCGATCACGCATTGGTTCGTGCTAAGATTTGCATGCGTTTCGGAGGATCACCTAAGCGCGCCCACTACCGACCGGACGTCGCGAATCTACAAAACCCTGCGATTTTAACCAGGTACCAAGCCTCACTGTCAACCTTGCTTGGCTCAACTATTGACGGTGATCTCGATTCGCAGTGGGCGCATATCAAAGATGCTTTAGTTTCCGCCAGTATCGACACTTGTGGAGTTACCCGTCACCCACCGAAGCATTGGATTTCCGCCGACTCCTTGTCGCTGATGGACAGACGCCGCTTGCTCCCATCGGATTCCAGACACAGTGAAGAACGCCAGTACCTTGGTCGAGAGTTGCGCAGGAGTCTGCAAATGGACCGCGAAGCTTGGTGGTGTGAACGTGCTAGGGAGATGGAGCTTGCTAGTCTCTCTGGTAATACCAGAAAACTCTTCCATCTCATTCGAGTCACCGAAGGTGTTCGATCTGGTATAAGTGAAACAATATGCGAAGAGGATGGCACCTTAATCACCAATCTTCAACGACGGTTGGAGCGATGGGCCGAACATTTTGGCTCGCAGTTTTGTTGGCCCCCAGCTCCATCTGCTACCTCTGGCGCTCGCGCTGGGGCCGAGTGGTCTACCCCAACAGACCCTCCCTCTTCCCAGGAAATCGAGCAGGAGCTCCGGCACATGAAGCGTTATAAAGCCCCCGGCCCTGATGGTCTTCCTCCGGCTCTATTTAAAGATGGTGGCGCATCGCTGGTTCGAGAACTCACCGCTTTGTTCTCGAAAATTTGGTCGAAAGAGAAAGTTCCGTCATCTTGGGGTGAATCGATAGTCGTCCCCATCTTCAAAAAGGGCCTGCGCACAATCTGCTCCAACTACAGAGGAATAAGTTTAGTCCCCGTCGTTTGCAAGCTGCTGGTGTCCATCATACTTCGCAGGCTATCCCCAACACGCGAATCGTTGCAACGAGAAGAACAAGCTGGGTTTCGCCCTGGTCGCGGCTGCATCGATCAAATCTTCACACTTCGCCAGATCCTCGAGCTCCGCCATGTGTATCAGAGGCCAACGATTGCTGTGTTCCTGGATATCCGTGCAGCCTTCGATTCTGTCGATCGTACAGTACTGTGGCACTGTCTACTGAGGAATGGTGTCCCCGAGAAGTTCGTCTCCATACTGCGCGCTCTATATAGTCTGACCTCGGGCAGGGTTAGGGCTTATGGCAAGCTTTCGCCTACCTTTGTGGTCTCCAGTGGAGTTCGACAAGGATGCCCTATCTCTCCGTTCCTATTCAACTTTGCCATTGAGGATGTCTTGAAGAACGCTCTAGGCGATTCGTTGAATGCTGGCGTTGAGCTCCTCCCAGGTAGTCGAGTTGTTGATTTGGATTATGCTGATGATATCGTCTTGCTGGGTGACGACCCACACGTCGTCCAACTTGCATTAAACCGCTTGGCGATTGAAGCATCAAAGTACGGTATGTACTTTTCGCCATCCAAATGCAAGGCTCTCTTCCAAGACTGGCAGGTGCCTCTGCCTGCACTCACGCTTGCTGGTGAGACACTAGAGGTTGTGGAGAGCTTTGTCTACTTGGGAAGTTGCATCACTGCTGGCGGGGCTGTTGGAGACGAGATTTCGATGCGCATCTCGAGAGCAGGCCTCGCTTTTTCTAGGCTGAGGCATTTGTGGCGTCGCCACGACATTCGTCTCTCCATCAAAGGGCGGGTCTATTGTGCAACTGTTCGTGCTGTACTGTTGTACGGATGCGAGACCTGGCCCATTCGTAAAGATGACTTGCGCAGGCTATCCGTCTTCGAGCACCGCTGTCTGCGGTCCATTGCCCGTGTGTGGTGGCAGCACCACGTAAGCAATGTGGAAGTTAGACAGCGTGTCTTGGGACGTGGAAGCCACTCGCTCGAGGAGCTCATCTCACTGCATCAACTGCGGTGGTTGGGACACGTATTGCGCATGCCTGTCCAGCGTTACCCCCGTCGTGCGTTGTTTGCACTTGCTGGACAGGGCTGGAAGAGACGGTCTGGTGGACAGCCTACAACATGGAGAAGCCGCATGAAAAAGCTGACGAAACAGTTGGCCTCGGCCGGTTGTTGTCGACTACCTGGTTGGGGTCCGAGAGATGCGGATACTTGCTGGTTGAAGACCTTGGAAGCCATGGCTCAAGATCGATGTCAATGGCGGACGTGTGCATCGGTTTGTTGCGGTGTCCCTTCTTCCTCCCCCTAAAAAAGAACAAACTGAAAAAATGTCAAAAACTGTGAGTGGTAAAATAGACAAAAAAGCAGTTCTTGTTGCTCTTTTCTTATTATTCATATTGTTTTCCTATTCAGCCATGATTCCGATGGCACAATATCTGTACCACAGATTGTGTATTATATATATATATATATATATATATATATATATATATATATATATATATATATATATATATATATATGGCGGGAGAGCCTATGGTGCGCTGAGGCTGGTGGTGGCTAGATCCTGACAGATGGTCTACCCACTGCTGCTACTGTTGCGCCATAGTCTCATGTCCTGGGCGCCTCCACGTGGCGACCGCTGGGTGGGAGTTAGGTTTCGCCCTTCTCCCTGCTAAGATCCAGGACACCAATCCGCATGAGTCAGCTAACTGACCATGTGCTAGACCCGCTGCCTTTCGGGTGTTCATTTAATCGAAGGCTTTGGCTGAGGACCCGAGTCGTTCTCCTGTCAGGATTGGGCGCCCTGGCAGTATCCTAGTCCATCCTCTCCGGAGGTTAGGAAGTGGTCGATGGCCCAATTCCCGTAAAACCTAGCCATGGGAGACAACAGGTTACGGGTGATATTGTCAATGCTCGATTGGCGTAGAGCACGAGTGCCACGCATTGTCTCTGACGGTGGGAGGACACCTCCGGGTGTTCAATGGTTTGCTACTGCCCGCCTCAAGCCAGGCAGCCCCTGGTCAAATTGGTGCAAACCCGCCAAAAACCCACCTGCGTCTGGCCGTGGTCGCAGGTGCGTATCCAATTACGGTCGCAAAACATATGATAATTGTTCCAGTACCTCAAAGCCTGCGTGTGACGGCCGTCAAGCAGATCCCAATCTGTCTCTGCAATCACATTCCCGAGCTGCATCTGCTCTCCACTGCCTTGTGGGTCAGGCTATTGAGCCAAAGGCTCCGGGCGGAGTCCCTCAAGCAAACCTCCAAACCACCCACTGCCTTGTGGGTCAGGCTATTGAGCCAAAGGCTCCGGGTGGAGTCCCTCAAGCAAACCTCCGAACCACCCACTGCCTTGTGGGTCAGGCTATTGAGCCAAAGGCTCCGGGTGGAGTCCCTCAAGCAAACATCCGAAGCACAACGACCACCTCGCGTGCGATTGCCCACCAATGCAATCGTATGCCTGCGCGCAAAGCACTCAGCATCGGGTGCTGGAACGTGCGCACACTACTGGACCGGAACTCCAGCGAGCGCCCGGAGCGACGCACTGCACTGGTCGCAATGGAGCTCGCGCGCTACCACATCGATATTGCGGCGCTCAGTGAAACTCGGCTCGCTGAGCAAGGTAAGTTACATGAAGCAGGTGCTGGCTACACATTCTACTGGGTGGGGAACGACGCCTCAGCACCACGTGAACATGGGGTCGGATTTGCAATATCCGATCGCCTGAATGGCCAGCTGGTGGATGAACCAACGGGCATCAGAGCGCGACTGATGACTGTTCGCCTACGACTCGGAAGAGGTAAGTTTGCTACTTTTATAAGCACGTACGGTCCGACCATGTGTTATCCTGATGACACGCGTGATCAGTTCTACACTGAGCTATCCTCCGTGATACGGTCTGTGCCGAGGAGCGACCGACTATTTCTGCTGGGTGATTTCAACGCGCGCGTTGGGCGTGATGCATCAGCGTGGACAGATGTTATCGGTGCGCATGGCTTGGTTCAGCGAATGCGAACGGTGACAGGCTGCTCTCACTGTGTGCCACTCACGGCCTGACGATCACGAACACTCGGTTTGCACTGAGTGCGAGTGATATAGCAACTTGGACGCACCCACAGAGTGGTCACGCTCACCTGCTCGACTATGTCATAGTACGTCAGCGTGATATGCGTGAAGTGCGCATGACACGTGTACTGCGTGGAGCTGAGTGTGGCACTGATCACAAATTGGTGCGGACCAAACTGTACATATATTTTCGTAAATCGATGTATTGCACTCCCGCCGTGAATCGGCGTAAATTTAACATTCTCTCCCTCGGCACTGTGGCGAAACGTACTGAGCTGGAGAAGGCGATGGCTGCACGCCTGTGTGGTGATGTAGACTGCATAGCCACAGTGGGCGACCTGTGGCACCACATTCGCGACCAGGTGACAGCTGCTGCCGAGGAGACCATCGGGCGCGCAAACTGTAAGCGGCCTGATTGGTTTGATGACAACAATGTGACGATTGACGCATTGGTGTCAGAGAAGAATGCAGCATTTGCTGCACATGTGGCAGATCCCAGCGACTTGGGGAAGAGTAGTCAGTTTCGCAAACTTCGACGGCGACTGACCCGAGAGCTCCGTCGCATTAAAAATGCATGGTGGACGGAGAAGGCGAAGCAGATGGAATGCTACGCCGAACGCCGTCAACACAAGGAATTCTTTGACTCCTTGAAGGCGGTGTATAGACCGAGATTGGAGCCGCTGAGGACACTGATCGATGGTAGTTCAGGCGCTACCTGCACACAGACTGCAGACATAATGCAGATTTGGCGGAAACACTTTGACTGTCTCTTGAACAACCGTTCAGAGATCGACTGGCCTACATTGAACGGCCTGAAGCAGCACGATGCGAAGGCGGATCTGGCGGATACGCCGAGACTGGATGAGACGCAGAGAGCACTTGCTCAGCTGCGAAACGGCAAATGTGCCGGAGGTGACGGGATCCCACCTGAAGTATTGAAACACGGTGGACCCGCGTTGTTGACTGCGCTGCACCACTTGGTGCAACGCGTGTGGATTGAGGAGGAGGTGCCTGCTGAGCTGAAGGATGCCCTTGTGCTACCACTGTACAAGGGCAAAGGGAGCAAGCAATGTTGCACGAATTATCGTGGCATCAACTTGCTGAGTTGTGTGGGCAAGGTGATTGCCCGAATCCTGCTTAATCGCCTCGTGAGTCAGGTTGTTGAACCTAACGTGGCGGAAGAGCAATGTGGATTCCGTTCGGGTCGCAGCACTATAGATATGGTGTTTGCGGCTCGTCAGTTGCAAGAGAAGTGCAGAGAACGACACCAGCCATTGTACTCGCTTTTTGTTGATTTCACCAAGGCATTTGATACCGTGAACTGCGAGGCACTGTGGCTGGTGTTGGGTAAGTTTGGTTGCCCGCGTAAGTTTGTAAGTTTAATTGAATGTCTGCACAGTGGTATGCGGGCGAGGGTGCAGCTGAGTGGAGAGACCTCGGATGACTTTGCAGTTGTCTCTGGTGTGAAGCAAGGCTGTGTCTTAGCTCCTGCCCTGTTTAATATCTATCTTCATGCAATGTTGTCTTGTGCTTTTGATGCGGCTTGTGCTTACGGTGTTCATGTGGAGCATCGTATTGATGGTGGGTTGCTGAACATCCGTCGTTTCGGTGCGAGAACTCTAGTCTGTGAGACAACTGTCCGTATGTTGCTGTTTGCTGACGACTGTGCGTTGTTTTCACACAGCGCGGATGAGTTGCAGCACATGACTAGTGCTCTGGCTTCGACAGCGGCCAAATTCGGGCTCACCGTCAACACAAGCAAAACTGTCTGTCTCTTTCAGCCTTCACCGGAGGTGCATTCTTCAATATTGCCGCAAATCAGCATTGGTGCTGAAGTATTGGAAACCACCTCCCGCTTCAGCTACCTTGGGAGTGTGATATCGACTGATCAACAGCTACACGTTGAGTTGCGTAATCGCGTGTCGAAGGCAGCAGCGGCATTTGGGAAGCTTGAGTACCGAGTGTGGAACAACCATCAGCTTAGCATTGGCACGAAGCTGATGGTGTACAAATCCATGGTGCTGTCCGTTCTTCTATACGGCAGTGAAACGTGGACGATGTACCGTCGGGATGTGCGATATCTCGAACGGTTCCATCAGCAGTGTCTGCGACGAATTTTGCGGATCGGTTGGGGCGCCAGAGTTGCAGACACGGAAGTGTTGCGCCGAAGTGGGATGTATGCAGTGGACTGCATACTTTTACTGAGACACCTGAGATGGCTCGGTCATGTGAGCCGTGTGGATTCGACGCGGATACCGAAACAACTCTTATACGGTCAGCTGAGTATTGGGAAGCGGCACGTGGGGAAACCAAAGTTACGTTACCAGGACATGAGTAAAGTGAGCCTCACACGTTCTAATCTTGATTGCAGATCATTGGAATCGAAGGCGGTTGATCGGCGTGCATGGCGCGATCTATTCACGAAGGCAGTTGCTGAGGTGCGGGAGAAATCCCTCATGCATGCAGAGAAGAAGCGGCAGTTGCGGAAGCGGCAAGCGCCGATGGATTGTACTCCATCGACATCGAGCGCATGGTGCTGTAGAACCTGCGGTCGCGAGTGCCTTAGTCAGGCAGGCCTAGTGAGCCATGAGCGAGGTCACTCGGGACCACTGCCGAAGCGACGACGGGTCCCGCAATGAACGTAGGCTGCACCGGCGCAGCGTTTGTAGGCACGCTGAATTCGATTTACTAACCGCATGGTTGCATGCTAAGTCTCTTTATTTCAGGTGGTGGGTTTTGCGATTCTCTCCTAATGCCTTTCTTTCTCATGTAAATATCTAGTGGGCCATGAGCTAGGTCCTTTGGGACCACTACAGAAGCGACGACGGGTCCTGCAGAGAATTACGGCGAGCCGGCGCAGCGTTTGTAGGCACGCTGAATTCGATTTACTAACCGCGTGCTTGCATGCTAAGTCTCTTTATTTCAGGTGGTGGGTTTACAGTTTCTACTTTAATGCTTTTCTTTCTCATATAAATATCTCCCTGTACTCTATGCCACTAACTTGCACACATCGCCTAAACCAATTGCATTTGATTTCCATAATATTTTTGTGTTCGTGGCATTCC